GAATGAGATCAGATACAGCTCTATCTTTAGTGAACCATAGTCTAGCACCTCTGTGGCATTTTAAGCCTTTGGCTGAGAGTGAATACAGCTTTGTGGTTCCCCTGCTACTGACATGATTTGGTGCTCCCATATATTTGTAGGTTTCTTTTTTTTTTTTTTTTTTTCATTAGAACTTGTTTGGCTATAGGGCTGCTTAACACTGTTCTCAAACAGCTTTTGCAAGGTTAAAGGAATGCAGCTTGGTAACAAGTTTGTGTCATTTTAAATATATACCTCCCAGTAAATAAGGAGGAGTCTTGCAATCAATCCCTTTTAGTGTGTTATATGTTTCACCTGACAACTAAACCCTCTATTGATTAACCATTACTTTGTTAGATAATCTTGTGTCATTGAAGCCACTGTAAAAATTAAACTCTTTAAAATGTTTTACCCTAGCAGCAGTGTGAAAATTGAAAACTTGTTCAGAATTACAGCCAGCTTCCACAAAGAGGGTAGTTTTCAACAAACTGGTTTATGTTTGCATGCTTTATATGCAATATAAAAACATATTAAAGCACTCCAACGCAAAGCTACCTGCCTGTGATGTCGAACCAGGCTACCATTTCATACTACTTTTCCTTGATGAAGAAACCTCTTATTTTGATGAAAGGTGAGAAGAAATTTTAACAGTTTTGGTGCAGATTAGATGAGATATGTAAAAGGGTCAAGCTTTAAAGGTGAGCTGCAGAAATTTACTTTTCTGAGGCTTGGTTCTGGCTTTGATCTTCCTGCTTTTCACCCAGGTTGGTCAGTGTTACCATGGGCATTGCAACAAATGAAAGGAGGTACTCTGATGTTGCAGTGTAGCATGAGACACCACCAAATGTTTCACCTAACATGAAGGGCTCTGCATTAATACTTGATGATATGACATTAATTCTGCGATCAGAATTCACTAGTCTATTCTCTAGGTCTATTCACTAGTAACTATTAGTGTGCAAACACAAATATGACAATATCAGACCAAATCTTCACATCCAGATGTAATTTTGTGTCTCTCAGTAGCCAGTAACTGCTGTCTTCAGAGAAACATTAGAAGACTATCATACAGTACTGCCTTCACAATATATTCTACCAGCTTCTTATGGCTTGGCTTCATGAACCAGATGCAGTTCTTCGTAACACTGTCAATACGTTTCCATTGAGACCTGTTAAACAGAGTGACATTACCTCTTTCTCCCCTGGACTTGAAGGGAGAACTGGGTTTTGTTCTGCATTTTGCTTTCAATCCTTTAAAACATACTGTAGAACATGTGCGTGAATCTCTTTATTCATCCCGCAAGGCTAATAATGCATTCTTCTGTGAGAATGTGAAAATAACAACAGAAGAACTTTGTAACTTTGCAGAGACAGTAATTTATGTTGATCTGAAGAACGCTTTATGTTTTATTCTCAAATCTGCATCCTTATGTGTTGAATCCATGATATATACTCCTTTTAATGTTCTCTTTTTCCCCATTATTTCTGTTGAGAAGCTAAGAGCTGCCGGAGGACTTAATGATTATTTGGCCCATACATAGATCCTTATGTAATAAAATTACTGTGTAAATGTTGGTTGTCATAGTAAAAGCACGTTCTTCTCTTCTTCTGTGGCTGAAAAGGTTGGGAAGGATGAATTCAACTATCATTGGCATGTTGTCAAAGGGCAGAGGGATATTGATAGCATGGGAATGCCTGGGTCAGTCAGACTCATCCACTGCCAACTCGAGCACTGTCAGTGGAAGGTGCTGTTGAAGGAGAGCAAACAAGTTAGGTCTCTTTTGGTATTCCATTGCCCTCCTGCTCCTGCAGCATCTACCCCTATTGCACTCGGGATGACTGATACCTGTGCCGAGTACTTTGTGGACCTGCTGTCCATGAGTTTGTTTAGTCCCTTTTGCCACTTGCTGATGATGTTTCTCTACACAATGTCCTGGAGCAGCAAGCCTCCTGTATGTAGTGTTTCATTTTATCTCCTTGAAATTTATACTATAGTAGTTCCATCAGATATCACTAGTCCTGGTGTTGTGGGATTTAATGAACAACTTATGCTAGAAGTTCAGTTGTTTCTCACTGAGATGTAATGCGTGGATGAAAGTAATAAAAATTAAGCAATACACTGGAATAATTATTTGTGTCTGCATTCTGACATGCACATAACTTTTGAATAGTGCATAGTGAGCTTCCTTCATTCTCAGAAAGTGCTAGCGTCTTTAGATTTAGCGTTTAGTATTTCACACTGTGTATTTGGATTGTCTTCTCTTTCCCGTTTGTCAGTGTGAGAGAAAGGCTGTCGTAAACTCAGCTTTTAAAAAGCTGGGCTGCTACCAAGGTTTGTGCATACCTGTCTTGAGAGGAAAAAGACTGACAAGATCTGAGTTCGTGGTTCAGTTCACGGAGCTACAGGCTTCCTTGTTGTTTTCAGTAAATGCGTTTGTGGCTGAGCTTTTGATCTGCAAAGTGGAGTTAGTAACTTTATTCAAGTCAGGGCTCCTCATAAAATTTACAGTATGTAGCAGATAAGTTGTGCAGAAATACTGTGGAGTTTTAGGGGTTAAATTGCAAATGAAAAGAATCACAGATTGATGATAAATGGGTTAAATTACACAAATATAAATACTGAACAAAGAATCTTATCAACTCTTCATGTTTTTTCCCCCTTCATAATCTCATTGAATTTAACTAGAACCATGCCTGTGAAATGAAGTTTGCATGGTATTGTCTGAATGTCAGTGCAAAGCAGATGGTGTCAACTTTTTATTTATCAGTTGGACTGCTACATCTAAGTCCCAATTTGTAATAGTTTATGCCATTCTAGTCTTTCTTCTGAGGAGAAAGTTCTGTGCATACCAGAGCGAAGGTTTTATGATTTTGGCAAATATTTGTAAGAGGCTGAGTCCATCAGACTTCTGTTTTGCTTGTGGCCTAATCCAGTTTGAATCTGAACCTCCCCTGCTGAAAGATGCACTCTGTTCATCTGCACGGCGCCTTGAAAGAATTCATGTGTTTGAATTTTTCAGTTCCTCCTTCTGGATCCAGAGACAGAAATTGCTCACTGCTAGTCACAGCAGATATCAATGTTGTGACATGTAAGGAGATCTCCTGGAGCCAGGATATTCTGCATTCCTCTCTGTCACCAGTTAGAGAGCTCACTGAGAAGTAAAATATGAACTTCTAAGGGAATGGAGAAGATAGGGCTTCGAGGTTCCTTTTTGTTTTTATGTCATGGTGAACTTTAAAGGGGCTCTGTAAATAGGTAATGTGGAAAGGACTGTGATTTCCCGAATTTCCTTAAGAGTGTCTGTTCTGTAGGGGACCAGTATAGGTCCACCAGAGCTAGTACACTGATTTCCCATGGTGGGCAGTAAGGAGTGTTTTGTGAGGATCATAAGAACTTAGGTGAATGTTATAAACTTGATTGTGAACGCTCCATTCCCATCAGTTGGTGCTTACCATCCCCCTAGGCTAGGGGCCGCTGGGAACACTGACTTTGGACACGTCTCCTATCGCTCAGCATGACCCCCTTTTAATCTCTTTGCATTCTTGCCTTTGAGATCTTTTGCCATGTGTTCTGCCGTTTTTTCTGTTGCTTTGACTACATCTTCCACAGAGTCAGGCCTCTGGAAGAGGGACAAAAGGATGAGATAGTTTGTTCATGCTTGGTACTGAGGGAATCTGGGTCTGATGATGTAGCTTTGGAAAAGAAAGAGAGGTTTAGGAGCGCTTAACATGGCAGTGTTGTCCACAGGTTTTGTAACCTGTAGCAGGTTTGGTGTTGAATTAGTTTTAAATCAAACAAATAGAAATCTGTAACAAGCCCTGAAAGAAAGATCTTGAGAGATTGCTAGTGACTATCACAGGGAAAGAACTGACAGGCAGTTCACTACAAGTCTTTGTGTGTCTTCCCCTAAAGGCAATCTTAAAAATATTATGAATGTTAGTACATTTAACTTAGTGCTCTTGGAAATGTCTTTGTAACAAGTTTAATTTCATTTTTTTCAGCGTGTTTCTTGGGTTTTCCCCACACAGCTATTTGAGGTAGCAATATCATCTCCGTGGTCCACTCACTACTCTTGCAACAAAGCAAGTTTCTGCTTGCTTTCGAGCTGCCAGTTTTGCATGGGAGTATTTTTCTGTAAATGGTGGCAGATAATGGAGGGTTAATCCCATATTGAAGCTCTTAGGTGTTACTGTACTCCTCCTACTACTAAAAAATGTGAACTTAATCAAGTAGTAATTAAAAAGGTGCTGAAGGGGGAGGGAAGAGAGAACCTCTGTAAGAAATTCCTGAGTTCTTCAGGCATATTGGTTTAAATGGCAAATCAGCCAAAATATAATTTTAAGCCCACTTCATAAGTATTGTTCATACACTTCCCTTAGAAAAGGGAGAGGCTATGAATAATGTGTTCTGCAAAGACTCTGAAGTCTGCAGCCCCAGCTGAGGGTTCCCTGGGCAGGACAGTGTTAAATGAAAAAGATGTTGTACTTTAAAAATGAAAAAAGCTTTCTAAATTTGGGAAGATTAAATACAAGTGAGATGTGGTCTGCGTTTGCTCCCTTCTGATTATAACCTTCATACTATCCCCATGTATTTTACCTCATGAAGTCAGGAGATGTTTATTAACATTTGACATATGCTGTGATAAGTAATGCATAGAAATCAACTTGCTTTAGGTTTTCGGTTATGCAGCATTTTGTGAAAGAATGAACAACTGAGATTAGATACTTTTTCCTTTTTCAAAGGAACAGAGGAGAAAAATCTTTTTCTTTGTGTATCAGGACTATAAAATGGTACATAGCTTCTCAGAGGACATGTATACCCTGAACAGAGGATTTTGCTGTAAACTAGTTTATTTTAATTTGAAACATTTACACCTTAGGAAAAAGAAAATGTAGTAGAGTTGTGGGTTCCTGTGCCAGAAATGTGGAGCCTGAAAGAAAATCATGTTCTTCTATTCATAACCATTTTAATCTTTCTGCAGACCTACAACAGCTGTGCCAGACTGTGCTTAAACCAGGAAACAGTATGTCTAGGAAGCACTGCTATGAAGACTGAAAATTGTGTGGCCAAAGTAAGTAAGAGAATGGCTTTGGTTTTGAGAGGTTTTCAGCAAATTGTTCATTGTTAGTCAGAGAAAAGTTCTCGTTAAAAATTACAGTTAGGAAAAAATATTGAAACGCTAAGTAAGTATTTTGGGTAGGTTTTTGTGTTCTTCAGTGTAGAGATTTCAGACTTGCTGTTTTTCTCTGCTGGAAATGATTACTTAATCGAGTCCTCAGCTATCTAGGATTGAAGGGTTCATTCTGCTATACAAGTAATAGTCTTTTCCAGTGGGATGACCTATGCCTGCCATGTAATTAGCTGTGGCAACTTCAAATGAGAAATGTCCAGATACTAAAAATACTGCATGTGAGCTCTTTGTATCATGGTTCCTTTCCTAGCTGCCAGAAGGAAGGTGCAAAAAGAAAGACCTTTCAATTAAAACACAGTGAATGCTGTATTTAATGGAAAGGGAGGAGGGAGATACTAGTAAGAAAATGGATTTATTAACCTATCACAGAAAAGCAATTTCTTGAGAATTGGGGTAGATGTGGTTGAAAAAGATGAGGTGCCATTAGCCACTCTCTTTTCTTAAAATTTGGCGTAACTAGAGTAAAACAATGTACATCTAGGGCTCTTTGTGAATGGAGAACATTTGAACCATGATGCAATATGTGTAGAAAGCCTGCGCAAAGGATGCATTTAGCCTTGTGCAAGCTTTGTATTTCCATTGAAAGGAAGTTTAGAATGGGCATGCAGGACAGATCAGTGCATGCAGCCATCTGTTACTAACACCAGCTGGCATTATGTTGCTCCTCTGTCACCACAAACCTGACCACTCAAAATCCTTTTTCTCTTTCAGTTATTTATTCCTTGATCTTCTTGAAGTCCATTTTTTTCATACTTGGAATGATTGTTAAAGGTGCCTTGTCCCTTCAGGGGCCACTTTTGTATTGACCTTTAAGATAATTTCCCAGCTAAATCTTCGCTGGGATTTTGCTGGTGAAATTTGGATGTCCCATTACTTTTGATTCTTGTCAGGGAATTGGCTATCATAAAAGTTTGTCATGGTGCTTGCAGGTAGCTTAGTGCTCGTAAACTGTGCTTGATGTGCCAGTTACCTCCCACTGCAGAAGCATTTCTGAGAGCAGCTACCAGTCTTGGTACAAAGAGCTGATATTTAATGCCAGCACTTCCATTCTTGAGATGGCTGGTATTGCACATTTCTTCCTAAGGTGCTTTATGATACCATGTAGGTGAAACTCTCTCAGCAGAGCAGCTCTGGCTGAGTTGTCTCATCATGCAGCATCATTCTGATGCCATAAAGCAGCTCACAAGCAGCTAACTGGAGTAAGCCCATTCAACCCCATCTGCTCTGTAGTGTCTTGTTTGACCTAATCACTTCACTAAGGAGCAAGGAGGTACAAGAAGTACAGCTGGTTTAAGTGGTGTCTCTTTTAAATGAAATTACATACTTAAACATCTTAATACCCTACATAGTAAACTCTCCTAAAGTTATGTTTTTGGTGGGTGAGAGGTGTGGGTAGGGCTCAAAGCAAGAACAGCAAGACTTGTTTCATGCTATTGAGAATGAATTTGAAATGTCACCATGGAGATGAAAAGGCGTATATTTTTAAATATTGTGTCTCTATATGCTGTAGGACAGTATATGTGTATGTATGCTCTAGGGCAATCTCCCGTCACACATATATCAAAAAATACATATATACACACATTTGTATATATACACACACATATGTATATATATATATATATATAATTTTCTGGGGATACAATTCCTCTAGTACTAGCTTGCCTGACTGTTGTACTCCTTTCCTTTGTCTTCCTAGCTACAAACCGAATGAAATAGGTTCTAAGAAAGCTTGCCTTTCAAATTCCAGAAGTGTTGAAGCATTTATAAATCCAGCTATCTAAATGCAGATGGCTCAGTGATGGCATAGGCAAATGGCACAACTGTTAAATGTTCCCTAGGTGAAGGGCTTAAGTGGGATTTAAAGAGTTCAGAGGCCTTCTCCTAGGCTGCATGCACGTGGCGAGTTTTATCCTCCATGATTGATGTGTTTTACGGCCTTGGGCTTTAAAATGTTTTGTCAGGAAGGTGAATACTGGAAAGTATAACTGCAGGTTTCATTATCTGCAGCACTTTTCCAAATGTATTCTGAGGGTTTCAATTTTCTTTTTAAACTTGCAGTGAAACACAGAAAGGATTACTTTGGAAGTCATGATTTACCTTTTCTGAATCTGCAGTGCAGTATCAGCCCTGACTGAGAACCGCAGTGTGCATTATCACATGCTTGTCAGATGTGTCAGTCAGTCTGATGATGATGGTTTTTCTAAAAAACAAAATTTCTGATGCTGCATCTACTTTCAGAAAAGAAAACTGTGCTCTGTTAACACTATATAAATGGCACCTACTGATCGTGTATTTGATGTGTGTAAAAGTTTGTTCAGGGAATGAAATGCAGTTTCCCTTGAGGCCACACACATGAACACTGAGGTATCTTTTCTCAGACTGAAGCACTTTCCATCCATTAAACTTTCTTGTGAATGAGGGCTTCTGTACAGAATATCCAGGTATAAATTACTACCCTAACAGTTTGTATTCTTCCTAAAATGGAGGGGGGGAAGTTTACAATAAATAGATATGCCTATTCAGATATGGAAAGTGGCATAGGACCAACAGTCTTTTTGACAGCTCAAGGAAGTTTGTATTTGTTAGGAAACCTTGTCTGTTTGGTTTTGTATACGATGTTGTGCTGCCTGTGTAGCCACGTGCTCAGTCGCTTTTGCAAACCTATGAATTATTTAGTTCTATTCAGACATTTTAAAATAAAACTAGATTATCGTGTTCTGATCAATCTTTGTATCTTCTTCTTAGCCCTGCTTTTCTGGTATTTTTCCTCTGAAACTCAATTGATAGGACTTGGGGATGTTTGGGTAGAAGCCAGGAAGGAGCAGGAGAAATTGTTTCAAGTGTGCATATGTTTTAATTGAAGAGGTGGAATCTTAAATTAAAAATCATATATTGTGATGCACAGATGTCACCTGTGTCATCAGCTAACATCGTTTCTCTCCCATCTGCAGGAGTTTCTTTGTTACTCTTTTGGCATCTTTTTACCCATTACCTTTGAGTGATCAACAAGTCTGATGTATATCCAATGTAATGTCTTTAAAAAGGAAATGCAGTCTCTAATTGTGTTTTTATATATGTGTGTACACACACAAGGGTATATATAAAAACTAGTCCTGTTTGTCTCTTTAGAAACCAAAAAATATCTGTGAGAGGATTTCTTTTTATGATATTATTTGTGTGCAACCATAAGTGGACAACTTTCTCAGAATTGGTGCTAGGTGCTTAAATAAGGTAGAAATGTAGCATGAACCTGAGCTCCAAGGACAGGGTGTTTGATTTTAATGAGGCTTATTGAAATCCAGCCAAATGAGCATCTGTTCCTATTGTTTGTTCCATATTTTGTAAGCCAGTATCTTCAGGCCAGATAATGGTGTTGGTGTGTGCTTCATCCTCAATTAGAGAGGGACACAGTTAAAAGTCCCTTGGCATCTGGTATGTCACTAGGATTCTTGTGATGCTCCTGGGTGTGCAAACAAGTTTCAATTCTGTTCTGTACCCAGGACCACTTACATTCTCTGGTGACCTTCACACTTTCTATTTGATGTGTAGTGAGGGATGCTCTGGTGTGTCTTCGGTCTCCTTGACTGAGTCTTTGCATGGATGGGTTATATATAGTGCTGTTTCCAAACAGAGGTCTTTCATAAAGCCCACCCATTCATAATGTGGGCTGTGTTAGGTTTAAATTTTGCTCTTTGCTTGGAGTCGGTTAGATTTTGCATTTCACTGAATCATGGAAATATCTTTTTCATTCAAAGGCTCTCTTATTTCTCAGCAAGAGACTGGTGAACAATTTATATCTTGAGTTCTGCAGTCAATGCCCATTTCCTGCATTTGTTAGATGGGTCTTTTCTGTTTATTGACTCCTGCAGTCAGTTCCAGTTCATCTGTATCTGCTATACAAAGTTTTTACTTTGCATATTGAATTCTTTCCTGCTTGTGCCAGAGGTAGGCACCCTGTGGAATACCTGCCACAGACAGCACTGAGACACCTTTGAAATGGCATTCAACATCCCCAGGTTTTTCTTAGTTCTGAACTCAGCAGGAGCTGGGAGAGGTTTTCTGCCTCCTATTTTTATCTAAGGGAAATTGGAGGCAGAAAAATATAATCACACACACCGCCCTTGAAAAATTAGACTTCTGCTTCAGGCCACTCCTTGCTACTCACGTGTCATAACTAGTCCTGCTTTTTGAGGTCCTGGCAAACCAAGGGACTTCTCAAACTCTTTAAAGCATCTTGTGTCTTCTAGGGAGTCTTGGATTGCTGTTCCTCGTACTTATAAATGTGCAGTGGTTAATGTATTGAAATGGTAATCTAGAAAGGGTTTATGTATACCCTTTATTTTCAGCACTGTGATTTTATTCTCTGTGGCCATGATGGCTTTTCTTGCTTCTCTTCAGAAAGGGAACTGAATAATACTGTTCCTGGGGAAATATTGTGAAATGTAACTGTATGATACTTTCTTGACCCTTGGATGAAAAGTCCTGCTCAGCAAGCTGTGTGTAGTGTACAGGGGGAGAGAGCTCTGTTCTGCTCAGTTCTGGAAACACAGAACAGTCCTTGGCTCTTCCAGTATGCCATGTGAAATTTCCTTTTTAAAGATGCATCTTATTATTTTGCTATTGCTACACGTTTTACACTCAAGGATGATTCAGCTAGAGCAAGGAGTGGTTCTTTCTGCCTTGCTACTTCCAAATTTTTAGAACAAACGTAGTCTGCACAATAATAACATCGAGCCAAGAATTTTTATATATATTCAAAGGAGAAACCACAATTACTCTTTAATAAAGAAGCATTTAGGGTTCCAGGCTGGATGTTCCAGTTGGCAGGAGGACAAATTGATCTGAGGAGTGTCCCTCTTGTACTCTCAAGTCCCTTT